ATGAAGACCCCTGCTTACTCCTCAACTGGCCCCAAGTTTGTGACTTCTATATAGTCTTTGCCCTTTTGTGGCTTCCAGTGGCCAGTAAAACTCTGCTCACCCCATCCCCACAGGGGTGGGTCCCAGGAAGGTTGGGGCTGCTCAGGAAGGTAGAGATTTGGGAGAGGTGTTTATGCTCAGCCTCTTCTATCAGTGTCGCTCTGTCTTTGTCTGGCATCCAGGAGGGTGTGACTTGCTCTTTCTCTTTCTCGATGTCAAGGAGAGGCTCTGAGGTCAGACAGACTGACAACATTGGGTCAGACAGCTCCCACAAGGACTCCCACAAGGAGGAAGGCCATCCAGGTGCGGCAGGAAGGCCCAGTGTCACTGAGTGTCACTCTTTCCCTAACCTCCCCAAACAGGGAAGGGAAAGGTGCCTTCTCTCCAAGCTGGCCACTCAAGGCTCAGAAGCTGCCCCTGTTTTTGTCTCAGCTCCTGAGATAGTGTCTTCTGTACCTGCCTTCTCCCTCTGAGTTAGAAGGGGTGGGGAAGGAGCAGGCTGAGCCTCAAGGTGAATCAATATGGCGACGCCAGCTTGTAGAACTCAGATCAACTGTCAGATGTCTGCCTGCAAGCAGCGCACAGCTTCAGATGGAGTCAGGGACCGGCAGCTGGCTCCTCATCACCTTGCAACGAGCCCCTCCTCTCCTCAACCAAGAACAGGTGTAGCAGCCACAGCTCTGGGGAATAGAGAAGCCAGAGAGGTCTTCACAGGTCTTTCTGGCACCTGGCTACCTCCCTGTGACCCAAGGCTCCTGCCCTTGAACTTGGACTGTTCTCACCACATGGTTAGCATCACCTACCCTGCTACTAAGGTAGCCAGCCAGTTCTTTCTTTTGTTGCGATTGGCTTTGATCTCTTCCACCTGTTGGTCCCCTGGACACTGGACTTAAAGACAAGTCCTGTATCTGTCTTGTGTACTATCCCCAAGTGACCAAAATAGTGCCCATAGTCAGAGGACATTCAGTGAATCTGTTGAGTAAATGAGTGGTCAAGGCTGTGCCTCGGCTTATACGAGACCAGCCCAGTTGTTTATACATATAAGAAAAGTCTCCTGTCCCCCTTGTCACTCTGCAGCTGGGCCTGCCCAGGCCCCACAGTCCCCGCGTGACCTGGTATCAGGCCCTCACCATTTCCCTTCTGAGTCCTCCCTGGCTCCTCACTGTTTTTCTTCTCACCCCTTGGAGTGTGATTTCCAGTGTGGAAAGCAGACGCATGCAGACATGGATTCTCTGAGCCTGGCCTGAGATAGCTGGGGCGGAGACTGAGCCACCCAGCCCTGCCACCTGGCCTCCACTCAAGGGCAGTCCCCTGCACCTTTGATGGGGACACCCTGGGTGTCTGGGGATTACTCGCTCTCTCACCTTCCTGTCCATCTGTGCCTCCTATGCAGCTGGAGGTGAACAGCAAGTGTAAGCCGGTGTGGCACAGCAGCCAAGTTCCCCACCACACCTCCTGGCACTGTCTGTCGCTCACGGCCTGTCATCCTATTTCACCTTGATTTATGAGGAGACCTAATGAGTTTTTGGAGCAGCTGTCTCCCCAGGGATGGGCGATCAATCTAGGAGATAGCTGTTGAGCTCTGTTCTTCCAGCACCCAGAGAAGGTAGGGAGGAGCCAGGGACAAAGAGGTGTGGTCCTAGGAGAGTGGAGCATAGTCTGTGCCCTGGTCTTGGGCCCCCTGCAGGTCGAAGCCCCCAGCCCTCCCACCCAGGGTTATCTTCATGCAGGCTTCTTTTGAACTTGTCTCTCTGTTCCCAGGGGACAGTGCTGCCTGAGTGTCCTTGAGGTGATGGAGAATCAAATGGCATTCATCTGGTGGACTTGGCTGGACCTAGCCTCAGTTCTCTGTGCAAGTCCTCTTCCTAAAGGAGGCAGGTCCCCATCTGTGGCAGACCAGGGTGTTCTTTGGGTACATACCTGTAGAACTGCCTTCTTCCACTGATGTAAAGATGTGTCCCTTTACTGTGCTTACTGGACCTGGTGCACAGTAGGCTTTTGGGAGGTGACTTGTCTATGCTTGGACATGGGTGCTATATTTGCCTTTCCCAGAGCCAGTGACATTCCTGCGCTGCCCCTCACAGCTGGGGTCACTATTGACAAATAGTGTAACGTGACTAATGGAGGGGGGAACACAGATGAGCCTGGCCTTTCAGGAGCTGTCATGCCACAAAGTGGCCCTCAAGGGCAGGTTTAGTTCAGGAATGGAGGGGGGAACACAGATGAGCCTGGCCTTTCAGGAGCTGTCATGCCACGTGGCCCTCAAGGGCAGGTTTAGTTCAGGGAAATAGACTGTGTGTGTGTGTATGTGTGTGTGTGTGTGTGTGTGTGTGTGTGTGTCACTAGAGATTACACATAGGCCCGGGTGTGTGTGTATGTGTGTGTGTGTGTGTGTGTGTGTGTGTGTGTCACTAGGGATTGAACATAGGCCCTGGTACACAAGAGGGCAAGTATTCTATCACTGGAGTATGCCCCACCCCTCTTTTTTACTTTTAGATTGAGACATAATCTCCTAAATTCCCCAGACCAGCCTTAAACTTATTGTATAGCCCAGGCACTGACCTTGAAATTGAGATCCTCCTGCCTCAGCCTCCTGAGTAGCTGGGAGTCTAGGCCTGCACCATTAGGCCCAGCCAGGAAGTAGAGTTTTTGATGAAGTTCACAAGAACCAGGTGGATGAAAAACTAGTTATGGCCAGAAGATTGTGAACATGACTTATCACCCACAGCCAAGGCTTTAGAGGCCATTCTGAAGGTTCTCGAAGTCCGTACATTCTCACTGGCATAAAGATGCAGCCCCCTGAGGTATATATTACAGAGGGTGAAAGGTTATAAAGTGAATGTCATCACTTTGTGAACCTACTTCTTACTTTGGGTTGGCCCACAGCCAAGATGGTCCACCTAGTCTCCCTGAACAAACAAGCTGGTTTCTGTCCCCAGCTCATGGGTACATGAGGCTGGGGAACAGAGAAGCCCTGGTCAGCATCTGAGGCCAATCCCAGCAGTGCAGAGCTCACATCTCAATAGCCAGCTTCCTCCTGCCCTTTTGCCCACTCGCAAGGCCTGAGGCTAAGGTCATATGACAAACAGCTGGAGGATTTCTCCACTGGCTGCCTTCCAAATTCATGCTGGCTGTGACCAAGGCCTGGAGCAGGGCCAGGTCACAGGTGGCGCCCTAAACAGTGGTGGGAACCCCAAACGGTGGTGGCAGAGCATGGTTTGAATCTTCCTTGCGGCAGCTGCCCCTTGTGTGACTCAGTGCCCTCTCTGCAGTGACACAGCTACCTGCTACAGCCTCCTGAATAATTGGCTACCAGGCACCCAAGTCACGGTCCATCAGCTGTACTGTTCTGAGACTCATGCCCTTCCTAGCACATACGGCACCACTTCCAGACAGCAGGCTGCCCTATATCCTGCCCGATATACCTCCTGCAGGGTGGTCCTTTAACACCTGCGGGATGACCCAGGCTCCTGGGGTCCTGGGCTGAAGCTCAGAGAGGAATTAGGCTGCACTTCCCCTTGACTAGCCAGTGCTGGGAAGATTTGTGATGCGCCAAGCAGCAGGAGTGGTGGGACCTAGCAGCTGTGAGAGGTGGAAACAAATCATCTTCTTTATTGGCAGTTTTCACAGGCCTGTTATGAGCTCCCTCCTCCCTGCCTATCCCCCGCCATGTCAAGCAGCTCTGATTAAAAGTAGTAGATGAGAATTCTGTCCCACTCCCAGTGTCATCTGGGAAGACACTGCCCTGGCTTCCTGTGAGTCCCAGCAGAATGACCTCTCCCAAAAACCAGGGAGTGAACTGCTGAAGGCCCACAGACAGGAGCATGCCGGTCTCTTCTGACCCACTGCTCACCAAGGAGCATCATGTGTCCCAGGGGCTGGGACACAGGCTACAGTTACTGCTAGATCTGTTCTGTCCAGAAGCAGTAGGGGTTTATAGATTCAGAGTGGAGATGGGGACTCAGTGATCTCTGTATTGAGTGGTTAGCAGTGCCAGTTCTGGATAATGTCAATGGCAGATACCAGAAGCCACAGGGACCCAGAAAGATCTAGATATGCTGTCTTCTCAGATGGCAGGAGCACTTGTCCGTTGGTTGTATTCTAGAAGCCTGCAGTCTGTGGCTGCTCTACTCAGCGTCTTCAGGGACTCGAGTTCTAGAGGCCAGGCTGCTGAGCCAGCCTCCAGGTGGTGGGCCTGAAAGGGGCCTGCTGAACAAGGTTGAGCAGGAGGCTAGTCTCCGTCCACAGTGGAAGCCTGATTGCTGCAAACAGTGCAGGCCCCCTTCTGCAGCAAATTCCCTTCCCCCTTCTGTGCCACCAAGCGCAGAGTAGCCATATGCCATTTGCCTCCAGTCTTGGTGCCGGCAGCTCAGAACTGTCCTGGCTCCAGCATTGCTCCCTGGTACTCTTACCTCTCTGGTGTGACCCCTCACCACTTCCCATCTACTGTAGATCCTGGGCACCCAGCTCTACACAGGATTCCCAGCATGCCTGCCCTCTTGCTTTTAGCATATGTAGCAAGACCCAAGAGGATGTCACCTCCCAAACATGCTGTGCCTCTCAGCCCTCCACTCCCCCACCCCCATCTCCAGGACCTGTCAAACCAAGGGAGAGAAGGAATGTGAGTTCTGGCCAGGGCTGCTCATAACAAAAAGCTGACAGGAGGAAGCTAACGGCTCCTGACCAGGGCTGGACACCCTGCTGCTCTTCCCAGCACCCCTCTTCTCTGGATCATACCCAGGCCCCACTGTTGGGGATAGGAAGGGAGAGCAGGCTGGTGACTAGGACATCCATAAGCCCCTGTTGACCTGCTTGCTCCCACATGGCTTTGAAGTTGCACAAACCTGTGCTTAAAGTTTCCTTCCCCTGGGACTGCAGCCTCTCCACGAGCCCCACAGACGAGGGACTGTCCAGTGGGGGCAGGTACATCCTCACTGGCTGACCCCTTTCTTACTTTGCAGCTTTTGCCATCATGATCGTCCTGGCCCTGGTGCGCATTGGCAGTGGGCGAGGGGAAGGACACCCACCCCTAGCCAACTTCTTGGGCATCCGGAACCTGTTTGGGGTGTGTGTGTACTCCTTCATGTGTCAGCACTCCCTGCCGTCCCTCATCACCCCAGTCTCCTCCAAGCGCCACCTCACACGTCTGGTATTCCTGGACTATGCCCTTATCCTGGCCTTCTATGGACTCCTCTCCTTCACTGCCATTTTCTGCTTCCGCGGTGACAGCCTCATGGACATGTATACCCTCAACTTCGCACGCTGTGATGTCGTGGGTCTGGCTGCCGTCCGTTTCTTCCTGGGCCTCTTTCCCGTCTTCACCATCAGTACCAACTTCCCCATCATCGCGGTGACCCTGCGCAACAACTGGAAGACTCTCTTCCACCGTGAGGGTGGCACGTACCCATGGGTGGTAGACCGTGTGGTATTTCCCACCATCACCCTGGTGCCCCCCATTCTAGTGGCCTTCTGCACCCACGACCTGGAGTCCCTGGTGGGCATCACAGGGGCTTACGCAGGCACCGGCATCCAGTATGTCATTCCTGCCTTCCTGGTGTACCTCTGCCGCAAGGACACCCAGCTGGCCTTCGGCTACGGGACCGTCAACAAGCATAGGTCCCCATTCCGCCACACCTTCTGGGTGGGCTTCGTGCTGCTGTGGGCCTTCTCCTGCTTCTTCTTTGTCACAGCCAACATCGTCCTCAGTGAGACCAAGCTCTGATGGCAGGATGTGTCCAGTGACAGGAGGCTGGGAGCCCAGCCCCAGCCTCCCTGCTGCAGAGCAGGATTTAGCTACCATCCAAGCATACATGAGCAGGAAGACTCGGGCTCTAGGAGGAAACCTTCTACATCTCTAACCGGTATCTTGTCCCCACCCAGGACATCGTCCAGTCTGCACCTGCCCTTGCCCTACAAGACAGCCCTCTTACCTGGGATGCACGTGGCTGTTTCCAGGTTCTAGGATGGACCCTGTCTGTTTTACACACCTGCCACTGGAGGCTGGCTCCTTCCTCCGTGCAGTGAGAGATACAGTGCTGGCACTATGCTATTTATACGAGACCCGTGTCCCTTCCTCATCCCTCCCACCCCTTCCTGCATCCTGGACTGTTCCATAGCACTTCCTGCCTCTTCAAAGGTGAATCCCAGGCCCTGGTCATCCTAACCTGGCATGCTCATAACAGGCATTGCCTACCTTCCTGCCAGGCCTAACAGTTGTTAAATATTACTCCTATGGGAGGTCCTGGCCAGCTCTGGTGACAAGAACAGAAAGTGCTAATTGGCACCAGGGTCCCTAGACCAGAGCTGTGAGGGCCCTTGCTGTGGGCACCAGCTCTGGTACAGCAGAGAGATGGAGCATCCCTTCCAAAGGGCTCATAACAGCCTGTAAGCTGGGTTTAAAACCCTTGTGGTCCCTGAAAGAGGGTTTCTCTGTTCCCTGGCTGTTCCACTGGAGTCCTGGGACCTCCTGCAATGTGGGGTGCCACTTGAGAGAAATTGCCCCATCACCCCACACCATCCCCATATGGTTTACAGCTCTGGACTTATGGCAGGGAGAGGGCTCCCCAGTTCCCATTCTACAAAAGGTCAGGCCTAGGGCTGGGGCTAGCTCGCTACCATGCTGTGCTCCACACTAAGGTGGTGGCACACTCAGGAGTCTGGTCAAGGGTGCTAAGTGGCTGGACTCTCCAGGTCCTTAGCTGCTGTGGGACTGGAGGGAGTGCCTACCATCATTCCCATGGAAGGAAGCCAGGCTCCCAGCTGCTTCTCAGTCACGCATGCACCTACCAGGCCCGCTGCCTCGGAATGACGGGCGACTGATGAACTGCATTTTCAATGTGCCTTCTGCTTTGGGCTCCAGGGATCCTTCTTAACCCTGGCTTGCCCCAACTGTGGGTCTGGTCCCACCTGTCCTGGAGCCCAGAGCAGCTTGCTTCAGAACTGCCTCTGGGTTGGAAGGTCTCTGGCCCCTGCCCCACCCTCTTGATTTCAGTGCCTTGCTCCACCCTAGTGAGGGAACCTGTGCCAGCCACCTCTTCCCTTCTATGTCTCGCCATATTTAAAGCTTGAACGATGTTCCAGGACCCAGGGGGCTGTGAAGAATCCTGCAAGGAGTGTGGGACCTGCAGGCAGCGCCCTCTACCTCTGGCCCCCACACCCCTGCCTCTTAAGAGTTTTCAAGTCATGAGGGGCCTCAGCCTGCTTTCTGACTGCTGTTACACAGAAGTTCTTACTTCCCGTCCACATTAAAAACAGACACCTGCCGGGTATGGTGGTGCACGCCTTTAAGCCCAGCACTCAGGAGGCAGAGGCAGGTGGATCTCTGTGAGTTCAAGGCCAGCCTGGTCTACACAGTGAGTTCCAGGCCAGCTGGGGCTACAGGGAGACCCTGTCTCAAAAGACAAAAAAAAAAAAGACACCCCATACCCATCTGTCATTTCAACCCAGGGTGAGCCAAGTGGTGCAGGCACCACAGTGACAGGTCCAAGAATAAGAAAGATCCACCCATCTCCCTGTGCTCAGGCCCTCCCAAACCTGCCTAGCCACCATGGCCATTTGCTGAGAACTCAATTAAAACATCTGTACTTACCGTCTCCAGTTACTTTCCCTCTTGCTTAAGGACAAAGCAAATTAAAACATCTTGCTGCACCTCGGGCTCCAAACCAAATTTTGGTCCCAAATTATTAGTGTCATAAAGCCCAGGCTGATTTATGTGGCAGTCTGGAGCCACGCACAGCAGACTGGCGGCTGTGTTCCCCTCCGCCTCCAAGCTAGGGCAGCCCCAACCCCAGAGGGACCTGGCCCGAGGTGACCACACTACCGAGACTGAGCTAAAGCTCTCTCCACTGCCACCGTCTTTATTTCTTTACTTCCTTGGTCTTCACCTGCCATGTCCTGCTAGAAGTCACAGGAGGCCATCTTCCTCACCACACCAGGCCTCTGCCACTGGTGCCAGGAGAGTTCAAGATGAAGAACCCAAGAGCTAAGCAGTCCTGGGTTTCACCTGCTCCCTCAAGCACGTGGGATGTTTTTATATGGAGGGTGAGGTGGGTAGGCTAGGTCATGGTGTCCATTTGCAGAGGGGCCCTGGGGTCAGGAGTGAGGCGGACAGCAGAGGAAGCCGCCCTAGCCTGGCTCCAGGTCTGAATGTCTGAAGATCAGAAACTCAGCAGCTGTCACTGCCATCTGCCCACACTGTCCAGGACCAGGGCAGGCCAGGTCAAGGTAGGAGTGAGCATTCTTCACCAGGCCCACCTGAGCACCAAACATAATGCCAGCCGCTCTGGCTGCCCCTCACCTGAGGCCAGTAGATGGGGCAGATGGCAGGTGACCGGCTGTGAGGCACTGCTGAGTGGTGGAAGGTGGCACCAGGCACTAAGCCAGGCCCAAGGCCACACAGCTGTTCTCACCACATGGGGCCAAGAGCAGTTTCAGCAACAGGCAGAGGCCATGCCTGCCTCCTGGAGCACTAGCTGAGGGGAGGTGGATGGCTGTGCCAGGCTCTGAGGAAGAGGAAGACTGAGGCCTGCTTAGGGGTCAGTCCCCAGCAAGGGTAACTGTTGCCAAGGGTCACTGAGAAGCTGGCTCTTAAAGACCAAGATCCAGGCTGTATGCCAACCCTGCATCCCTCCTCCCGGGGCATGCCACACAGACAGCAATAGAACCTGCAAGTCCCGCACAGTTCTGGGTACAGTGTGAAGACTGAACTGTCAGACCTGTGCCCTGTGAGTAGCAAGCCTTTGTGACCCCCTCCCTCTGGGAAGTGTGTAACAATACCTACAGATCACTGGTCATGGAGATTAAAGGACTGAGCATAGTGCCTGGCACAAAAAGTGCTCAATAAAGCTACTGTTTGCTGATGGCTGTCTCCCTTTCACTTGTTGGCGGTAGCTGTCCTGGTTGCCTAGGACTCGGTTGAGACTCCAGACACCTGTTGGCTTTATCCCCTAATGAAGTGACAGTCCTCTGGCCACTGCCTACTGCACTTCAGAAACAGGAAACTGGCTTGAAATCATCCAGATCTAGGGGACTCTGGGGAAGAAAGGAGTTGGCTCTGATTGCCCTAGTCTCCTGGAGAACTTGAAGATAGTTCTTCCCTTGCAAAGGCAGGCCAGACATGATGATACCTTAATCCCAGCATTCAGGAGACAGAGGCAGGCAGATGGCTGAGTTTGAGGCCAGCCCGTGTCACATGGTGGGACTCAGAGTGAGTCTAGGTGAGTGCTGCTGCCAGTGCTCTGGAAGGAAGCTTGACCTTGAACTCAGCTATGACAGCAACAGGGTTAACTAATGGCCACCAGTTCCTGGACTTGACTTCCTGCCCTCAGAGTCGTGGCTGTGGGTATCACGCCCCATGCCACCCTTTGTAAGCACCATCCCCAGCCCTTCACCTGGCTCCCTGGAAAATGCTGGTGTGGATATGAGCTTTTGACTAAAGACAAATGAAAGAAGCAGCTAGGGCAGCTGCAGGAAGGAACTGGGTCAGACTGCAGCATGCCCCAGTGTGAGACCAGTGGCAGGGCCTCGCTCTTCCCACATTGCATCAAAAGGAAAATTAGCATGGGGGTGGGAGTTGCCTCGTGTTGGATCCTTTCACATCCATAACCTTACATCTCTCAGAGGTACAAGAGGGCCAGGAGCACTGCCACCATGAACAAGAAACTGGGAAGGCTGTCCTTACCTCCTATGCCCCTAGGTCTTACCCCCTCCATGCATTCCTAGAGAAGAACCCAGCTGCTGGCACCTGGGCCAGCAGCCAGCAGGAGCAGCCCTTCTTCAGAGCCAGCAGCAGGCTCAGCTCCACGTTTGGCTCTTAATTATCTTTCCAGTTCTTGGCTACCAGTGATCTTGGGCAGCAAGCAGAGCAGCCCAGACCTCACACCCTCTCCCAGCCTTACCTGCTGCAGCCTTCTCCCACAGCTGCACACAGACCCTGAGTGGGAGGATGGGAGGGCAGGAAGTCAAGTCCAGGAACCAGTGGCTATTAGTTAACCCTGTTGCTGTCATAGCTGAGTTCAAGGTCAAGCTTCCTTCCAGAGCACTGGCATCAGCACTCACCTAGACTCACTCCCCGCCTGTTGCTGAGCCCCAATCCTGAGCCTGGCTCCAGCCCATGAACAACCATAAGGTAGAGAAAGTGAACATGAGGTAGGTAATAGACAGGTACCAGCAGGGAACCATAGCAGAGAGCACTGGGCTGACCCCAGGGGTCATAGGATACAGCACACACACACACACCCTCCTTGTCACAAGAATTGATATCTGCCAGCCTCCACCTGACCTGTACAGAATAGCCAAATCTCAGCTTTACATCCTTAGCACCTAAGAAGGGTCTGACCCAATCCTTGATGTCTTCATGTTTTGCATGGATGGAAGAAAGAATGCTTGCTCTCTCCACAGTCATTGTTAGGGATAGATGTAATTGCAGGTGTAAAAACACTGAAGACCACAAGCAAGAGCCATCTTTTCAGGTGGCCCCACAACTAATGATATGTGACGATCCAGAGATGGTCAAGTGAGAAACCCAGAGGGAGAATGGAGAGCTGGATGGATAGGTAGATTGTCCCACCTGAAAAGTCTTGGCACCAGTGAAGCAGACCTATGCTTACCTGGGATGACACCTATGCAGGCTTCTAGAGTCCGTGCAGCCAGGCCGCAGGCAAGCGTAGCAAGGCTCCCCACAACAGACCTGCAGCCTCTGTACCATGACACTGTCAGACTCCCAGGGGGATCTCCTGGCAGATCAGGGACAGCCACTGTTCCTGGTAGGAGTTCCTCCTTTCAAGGAGACTAAGGGATGAATTCAATTCACCACCAGAGCCCCCATGCTGAGTACATTTGTCACATCCAGCACCTGGGCAGGTGGAACTGGCCCTGAATACCAAGTGACTTCTGCCTGGAGCTCCTCCCTCAGCTTCACCTGCCCCTTCTTTCCTCTTGGACACTCCTGAAGCTAAGGCTTTTCCAAAGGGAGCTGCTGCAGGTAGATGCATGAACCTACAATTCCCATGATGCTCCAGGTATCCACATGCTGTACAACTTTGCCCCCTCTGAGATGCAGAATGAGGCAGCCAGGACTAGTGGGTTGTAAAGGTTTAATGTCCCAATGCTCCCAATGAGAAGAAACTCCAGCCTGTGGGAGCAGAAGATGAGATGGCTCCACCCCAGTCTCCAGCTCTAGTTTCTGTGTCCCCAACTCCAAGGCCACAGCAACCACAACCAGGAACTAACTGGCTAACACCAAGGCAGGTCCGCCCTCAGGAGTTCCACCCTTTCTGCTCCTTGTGACTGGAGGAATATATGTGATAAACAAGATCCCAGCCCACACCAGGACCTGAGCCTGCTGAGGTCAGAGCTGACCACCGAAGACATCGTCTGCATGGGGGTCCCATGGCCAAGATTTCATCGTTGCAACCAGGGAAGCCCAAGCCTGCCTGCTCCGCCCCAGACCCTGGCAATGTCAGCCAAAGAATCCAACCAAGCAGAAACCAGCGTAAGCTGGCACCTCACACTTCTGACTCCAGACTGGAGATCCGCCTCCAAGTGCAGGGTCCTGGGATGCCTTGTGTCCCACAGACTCCCCTGCTGACCTCTTCCAGCACTCCACTGTCCCTGTAGCCTGTGCTGAGCCCCAGGGTCCTGCCTCGGTGTGCCAGAGGCTCCCAGGCTCCAATGAACCAGGGACTGTGGCTGGCACAGGGTGGGGGGTGACGACAGACAGCTCCCCAACAGAACGGGAGGTGGGTGCGGGTGTGCAGGCAGACGTGCTGTCTGGGATGCCAGGTGGGCACTCCTGGCGGTATGCCTTCCCCGCAAGCCTCCCGGTAGGTGGGCAGCCGCATCGACTGCGCCTGCGCCCACCGTTTGCAGGATGGTGGACCCTGAGGACAGGCGCAGGAGTGGCCGGTGCACCTGGCAGGCAGGGGGCTGGGTCGAGCGAAGGCTTCTGCCACCGAGCTGGGCAGGGAAGCGTGGCGAGGGCGCGGGCCCCGGATCCAGGCGGCGCGCAGCAGAGCCTCCCGCCGGGCCAGCTGCTCGGGCCCGAGCAGCGGCAGGTCGTCGGGCTCGGGGGGCTCGGGAAAGAGTGGAAGAAAGGGGCGCCCGGACCTCTCGGCTCTGGGGAAGGAACTGTAGTGGCAGTACGCGGAAGACAGGGGGCGCTCTGGGAGCGCGCGCCGTTCGGAGGTCGAGAGGTGCCGCCCCGGGTACCCAACAGGTCCTGGCCACCTCTCGTCGCCAGAGTGCCGGCCGGACCCTCGGGAGACGTCGGGCAGAGGTGGCCTGCAGGTCACCGGACGGCCTAGGGACTGCGTGGCCCTGTGCACCAGGGCGGGGCGGCTCCCACCAGGCGGCCCCCAGCCGCCGGGACTCGGTTCTCGGGCGGGTACAGAGCAGGCGGGAGCAGGTGCACGGCGGCTGCTGCCCCAGTTCTCGATGGTACGCGTGGCGCGGTCCAGGGAGCTGCTCACGCCCGCTGTGGTCACCATGTCTCGCGCCGCCTGTAACATCTTCAGCACGCTGGCCTGGGCTGAGCTGGCTGTGAGGTCGGGGCTGGGAGGCCGCGCTGGGCTGGCCAGGGTCTGCACCCCGTTGAAGCAGCTGTAGATGCCCTAGACAATAGAGGGGCGACAGGCCGTGAGCAGAGCCCTCTTCTTTGGGACCAGGCACCAGTTCCCGGCTCTATCCCAAGAAGCAGCCCTCTGAGCCCATAAGAGGCTCAGAAGCAACTGCTTAAGTGCCCCCTGTGTGTCAGGCGCCATGCTGTTTTGCAAATGGAAGAGCTAGCTGAGCCTCTGGAGGTTGATCCGTCCTCCTAAGGGTGCTTGCTAACAAATGGCAGTGAGGACTCAAAACCACCATGCTGGGGAGCCACACCTTTTCTCAAGAACTCAGTTTTTAAATCTGTAAATGGGTCCAGGACCAGCTCTGACTCATCTGAGTTGCTGCCCAAAAAGCTGGGTGGAGCCTGTTTGGGGAGAGGCCGGGGCCTACCCTGCTGAAGGCCAGCAGGAAGTCCAGCTGGGACGTGTTGGGCACCGAGTGGCGAAGTTTCCAGTAGACCAGGTGCTCCCAGGCAAAGACCAGCAGGGCCAGCCCCATGGCCACCAGCAGCATGTAGAAGACTCCAGCCATGTTGTCGATGTCCAGCTTGCTGCTCATCACCTCATTCTTCTCGTTCTGGCAGATTCCTGAGAGCCACACTGTCTCCAGTTTCTGCGTCTCTCCTGGCAGAGGGTACACACCAGACTCAGGATGCCCTCCCAGCTCCAACAAACCCCTACCAATAGTCACCCCTGAGCCTGGATAGAGGAGGGGTCTACCTTGCTTCCCAGTGGGGACCAGCCCAGCAGAGGTAGGACAGACAGGGGAAGCCAATGAGCAAGAAGAAAAACTCAGAGGGAGGCTAGCAGGAGAATCAATGCTGCCCACTCCCAGAAAAGGGCCCTATATGCCAGTAAAGGCTTGGTTTGGCTTGGTTTTGAGACAGGGTCTCATGTAGCCCAGGCTGACCTTGAACTCACTATGTAGCTGAGGGATGACCTGAGACTACTGATCCTCCTGTCTCCACCTCCCAAATGCTGGTGGCAGAGGAGCCAGGTTGTTGACTCGGTTAATTTTAGCATTCATTTATTCATTCACCATCATACACTTGTTGGCCCCTGACTTGCCAAGCCGGGAGCTGGGCCCCTAGGAGACTACAAGCACTCTTGTTTGCTCATTCTTAGGAGGTGCTGGTGAGAAATCAGACAGTGTTGTGGTTTCAAGGTTATCTAGGGATGGGCATTTTTGCTTTATTTTGATTCAGGATCTTAATATGTAATCCAGGCTGGCCTCAAACTCATGGTTCTCCTGCCTTAGCCACCCCCCACCACACACACCCCAAGTACTAGGATTATAGGTGTGCATCCCCACACCCAGCTCCAAGAACATTTTATCTACTAAAGATGAAACTCCTCTAAACTCAAAGCTCTCTCTGAGTTTGGGGCAGGTTGGGCTGAATACTCAAATGAGTCCTGATGCCAAGGCTAGCTTGGCTCTGGGCTAGGCAGGTCTTTGGCACTACCTTATGTCATCTCAAGATAACAGAAAAGAAGTACTCCTCTAGGAAAGACCATGAGAGGATTCTTGGAGGGTAGGGGAGCTCAGCCACCCGGAATCCCCACCAGGCAGCTTGAAGGCCTTCCTGCCTTCCCTGCTCTTTGGCAAATCTTCCACTTGCTCCCTCTTGCAAGCCATCACTTCCCCAGGTCTCCATTGGTTGTTCCTAATACTGGCCCCTCAACTGTCCCAACCTCACCCTCAGAGGCCTCTTCCTACCCATAGGCCCTGAGCACATAGAAACGGTGGTGTAGCTGGGAATGGTGGCACACGCCTGTAGTCCCAGCACTTGGGAGGCAGAGGCAGGCGGATCTCTGAGCTCAAGGCCAGCCTGGTCTACAAAGTGAGTTCCAGGCCAGCTGGGGCTACAGGGAGGCCCTGTCTCAAAAAGACCAAAAAGGAAAAAAAAAAAAGAAAGAAAGAAAGAAAAGAAACGGTGGTGGAGATGCTGATGACCTCAGACCCTGGCGCTTACCCTGGACCCCAGAAGTGATAGTACCCACCGTCCCCCAGGAACTGCAGGAGCGCCAAGTCTATGGCCCTTTTCCAGTGGGAGTCCTTCTGCATGGCAATGCCATAGCCCGTGGTGGCAAAGACTTTGCCAGATCCAATGGTGACCAGCTTGCAGCCCTCATCCTTGCCGGCCATGTAGTTGAGGACAGCAGCATCATAGATAAAGGCATCCAATTTCCTAGGGACAGGCTGAGCCCTCAGGGCCAAGGACCCATACAGGTGAGAGGGAGGCACCAAACCTAGGGCCTGTCAAGGATCTAAGCACACAAACCTGCCAAGCACCGTTGGAGGTACCCTTACAAGGACTCCTCTCTCCCTCCTCAGATAAGCTAGGGGACTCTCTGCCATAGAGGATACATAGCCCTTCTTCCCAGCTCCTTGTGCCCCTCAGACCCAGAGAAGTTTGTAATCACCACCTCAGGTGAAGGCCAAACTCGGGCCAACACCTCGCTGCATTTCTAGGTCATGTGTTGGATACCTATGCTCACTACAAGCTCCACTCTACCTCAAGACTTCCTCACCTCTCCCCAGGAACCCCACAGAACATCCCACCTCCACTGTCCCCACCTTGGATTTCTAAGGAAGGGACACCTAAATATGGTCCCTGGAGAGACATGGGACCAGAAGCAGGGGAGGGTGCAGGGTTGGGGACCCACCCCATCTTCAGGCTGGTGAGTGCATCCTCCACCGAGCGCTGGTTGAACTTAACCATATGGGTGTGCATCTCACGGTAGTTGCTGCGAATGTTCCGCTCTGTGCTGCCATTGGGCACTGTGCCGAAGCGGAAGGGTGGGTACTGATCTTGAGGCCGCTGAAACTACAAGCAGAGAACAGCTACTCTGACCCTCTTCGTCTAGCCCCAGCCCCCAGCCCCAGAGCCCCACCCCATCTAAACCTGTACAGTCAGAGCACAGCATCCTTAGACAGACCACTACTGAGTTTTACAAATGGAGACTTGGCCTGAGACAGACTTACCCAAGGCCACTTGGTCTGTGGACCTGAGCAACCACAGCCCTATCCCCCCAGGCTTCCAGCATCTCCCAACTCCAGCCTCAGTTCAAATTACCCAGACTCTGACTGTCCTGTGCTGCCCATCCAACATCTGCCCCCACCCTTGGTATGCCCCCGCCCTCCACCTGGCTGTGGCCCAGGAACCTTCTTGTCACTAAGGCCCGACACAGTGTCGATGTACTGCTCCTGGATCATGAAGGCTGCCAGGTTGGCTGTGTAGCTGGCGAGGAAGATGACAGCAAAGAAGGCCCATACTAGGACCATGATCTTGCTAGTGGTACCCCGAGGGTTCTCGATAGGAACAGAGTTATTGAAGACCAGCGCCCATAGCAGCCACACAGACTTGCCAATGGTGAAGGATGGGCCACCAGACTCTGGGAACGAGAAGGTGGGCACCAGGGCTCTTCATTGTGAAATGGCTCATAGCCTAGTGGGGACCCCATCACTAGCCACACCACCCTGGCCTTCCACCCAGACCCTGGTAAGAGCTTACTCTTGCCCTTGGTGAGGTTCTGGTTGTAGCTGACAGGGCTGAAGTACTCGAACATGAAGACGGTAATGGCAACCACCGTGAGGCACATGACAAACATCATCACCCACACGGCAGGGCTGTAGGGCTCTGGGGACCAAGGCAAGTGGCTCAGAGACCTCAGTCCCATGCCACCCCAGCAGCTCCAGGTGGCAACAACTGGAGACATGCAAAGGAGGGAGCCAAGGCTCCCCGATCCTCAGAGCAGCAGAGTCCCCCAAAGAGCCTAAGGAAGGACCATCTACAGTATATGAGGCCTCTTCATTCCCTCTGCCCTGGGACCACACATCACCTCACTCTAAGGACTCTTCATAGCACTCACAGTCCAGCAGGGGCCATTGTTAGGGAGTCTGGTCTTTCTGCCTGGAATATGAGGCTCTAAAATCAGGTTTTACTCCTTCTTCTGTTGAACTGACAGGAAACCTGAAGCCTCAGAAGTGGGAAGACCCTCCAGAGTTCTCTGTCTCCTGGGTTAAGAAACCACTGCAGCGGCTGGAGAGATTGCTCAGTGGTTAAGACCACTGGCTGTTCTTGCTTCAGAAGACCCAGGTTTGAATCCCAACACCCACGTGGCAACTAACAACAGTCTGTAACTCAAGTTCCAGGGGATCCAACACCTTTATGACCTCTTCGGGCATTGCACAACATGAGTGCATTTACACACATATAGGCAATACATTCATACATATAAAATAAAAATAAAAACAAAAGAAACCACTGCTGCCTAGAGCACATGCCCCTTGGCTGGGAAGACCATCCTAAGAATTGGAGTCTCCCTGTGACTGGAGATTCTACTCAGAGAAGCTCTACTTTGCTTAAGGCCACCAGGAAGGGACAGAGTGGGGGTCTCACTCCTGCTAAGCCAGCTCTCAGTTCCTCCCCACCACCTCTCCTGTCCTCACGTCTCTCTGTGCCACTTCATGCCGCAAGCCCCACCTGACCTCCCAACTGGGCACTCTGAAAACAGAAGGACCTTGGCTGTCCACTGTAACCCAGTTCCTGGCTGGGGCCCAGCACAATGAGCTGATCCTCAAATTGTAGAGCTCCCAGTGGAGTAAGAACTCCTTTAGCATCTCTTCCATACTCTTGAGGGTGCTTCACCCTTGGTCCATAGTCCAACAAAGCACAGCCTGTAGCCAGCCTACCAGCATGACTTCCCACCCCTCCTAATGGCTCCAACTGCCTGCCTGACTCTTCTTCCCTGACCCTGGCTCAGGCCCCACATTGGCATCACTCCTTTCTTTTCTGTCTCACTTGTTTCCCTCAAAGACTCAAGGCTAATATGCTTGGCCCCGAGGACCCACCCCAAACTCCCCACCTCCTGCCATTCCCCCTCACCCACCCCTGGGCACTTCTGCCCAGAGCCATCACTGCCTGCTCAAGCCTTACCCAGAAAGGCCGAAGGGGAGACAGTGCCATTGCTTCGAGCCACCATCACACTGATGCCCGTCTCCACAAAAGGCACAGAGAAGTCCACGATCTCAGAGCGCTCCTCATTGATGGTGAGGGAGCCGATGGCCATGTCTGCCCGCTTATAGTACACCTGGGGGCCCAGAGGGAATTGAGGAAGTCTCCCAAGGACTTCAGTATCCTCCCTAGTCCCCACTGAGAAAGTGCATCCAGTACCCAACAGTTTAGCTAGCTACTCTCCCTGGGTCCTCAAAGCTCAATTCTCAGTAGCAGAGCTCATTGATGATAACCAGGTCCCCCTCACCATAGGGCTTGAGAGATGCATGAGATGTGAGAGTAGGCAGGGTGGTCTCCCAAGGATCTGGTGTGAACCTACCTCCCCGATCATGCCATTCCACACGCCGCGCACCCTTTTGCCGTGCTTCCCATTGGTCACCAGGTACAGGTCATAGGAAAACTTGACCACCTTAGCCAACTTCTTGAGGATGTCGATGCAGAAGCCCTTACAGCAAAGCTTGGTGTAGGGAGCTACATCCCCGCTGCTGCAGCCACCACCACAAATGAGAGCCCATAGTGTGGCCCTTGACCCCGGCAGCCCCTCCCAGCTTGGCATGCAGACCTCACCCTAAACCCAGACATCACACACACACACACACACACACACACACACGCACGCACACACACGCACACACACACACACACATCGTGGCAGGGCACAGCCCATCCCGGACCTGAAGGTGTGGTTGCTTTGCCTGCGACAGGGCACAGTGTTGGGTACACAGCCACCTGTGCCAGGGTCAGGGCGCTCCACGATGACAAAGGGCCGCTCTTCCAGTGTGGCCACTGTCAGGTGCCGGCTGTCCACCACAGGCTGCAAAGAGGTGCTGTAGCGAGGCCATACTGGATACTTCATATAGAGGACACCATGATCCCAGCGCCCCACCTGCAGAGGACAACCAACCTCAGCTGGAGACTCCTGTTCCACCACCCCCCAACCTCTAGATAGGATTTTTGGGGACCACCTGTCAGGGCCAAGAACCCTAAGGACACCTGAGGCAGACAGATTAGGGGGACTCAGGGCAAGGGCATTTGGAGAATGGGAAATCCCTGTGAAGGGCTGAACATGAACACAAGGGCAGGCTTCCCAAAGCCTCCTCTGAGCTCTGGGCCCTGAAATCTCCAAGGCTGCCTCCACATTGCTGCTGGCACCTAAAGCCCAGGCTAACCCTGTCTCACTCTTTCCCCATGACCTCAGCATAAAGTCTCCATCCAAGACTCAAGTTCCATGTTTTCCCATCACTCTATCCTACTTCTTCATACCCCTAAACCTACCTGCCACACCACTTAAGAACAACCTTCTAGGGAGAGATGGCTCAATAGTTAAGAGCACTGGCTGCTCTTGCAGAGGACCTGGGTTAAGTTCCCAACACCCACAGGTCTGTCATCTAATAAGCATCCCTAACTCCAGTTCCAGGGGCTCCAACACCCCCTTCTGATCTCCATGGGCACTGCATGCATATGGTACACTTACATACATGCAGACAAAACATTCATAAAATACAAAATTAATAAAAAGCCAGAAGAGCTTTCTGTCTATACCAAGTTAGTCCCACTTTCTGGTGGGCTCCTAGACAGTCCTCTGTAGTCCAACTCAAACATCCCATCAGTGATGCCTTTTCTAGTTTCCTTCTTTGAAAACAGAACTGTCTTGTTCCTCCTCTTTATGCTGGTGCTGTTTGGTGTTTTGTTTTGTTTGTAGGGAGTAAGACATGTTCTCGATATATAGCTCTGGTGGCCTGGAACTTGCTATATAGATCAGGCTTGGCTGGAATTTGAAGCAATCCTCCTGCCTCTGCCTCCTGAGTATTGGGATTACTGTTGTATCCAGCTCCTGTGCTGTTTTGCACACATCTCTTCTCAAACTCTAGTCTCCCCATATTCTACTTGTTTGCATGTCCAGCCCCGCCAGCACAGACATCAGTCACTCCTCCAGTGACAGCAATAGAAGTGCTTGATTGTTTCCTAGTGCAAGAAAACCAGGGCTTTATGGGAGCCCAGAGGAGGGGCACCTAAACCCCAAAGGCTTCCTAGTGGAGGGAGTTTCAGCCGAGACCTGAAAGATGGGGAATTAGATAAAGGGACTCTGCTTAGCTGTGGGAAAATAGTAAGAAACCAAGGGCCCCTGGGCTCACCCCCTTCTCACCATCTCCCAGAGGCGGTGCCGGTTGAGGGAGATCACAACCATGGTGGGCTGGACCAGGTACCCACCAGGGCTGAAGGAGAAGTCTCGGCCCTCCCAGGTGACATTCAGTAGGTGCCTGGGGAGTTGAGGGTGAGAGATACCAGAGTGTCCCCATACCCTTGCATGTGGCTGTGCCTGGGACCCCTCATTACCACCATCCCAGGGGCATTTGTGCGCTTATTTTTAAATGTCTTCCCGTATTGACCTCATGATCCTTTCCACACCAGGAGACCCACCAGATAAGGACACTAAGATCCAGAGACATGAAGGAACTTGGCCCCAGGTACATACTAGTGCCAGCTAGTGGAGATGCGACCAGGGAGTCCAAGCTCACTGCCACCCAGGTCCCCTGGAGTGCCCCCTCCCATTCCTGGACAGGTGCCCACCTGTAGAAGGCCTCCCGGGCAGGGCTGACAGGCCCGGGATGGCTACGGCAGTCCCCAGCCGGAGCTGGCAGGGTACCATGCTGGCGCCGGTAACTGTGGGCCCCTAATGCGAGGATGGCCACACCGTCGCGGACCTTCTGGCGCAGGCTGAGGCGCCAGCTCTCGGTGACCACGCTGATGAGGCCCACGGGGAAGACGGCTGGGGGCGCGTCGGTGCTGCCCAGCGCCAGATTGGGTACCAGCCACACGTGGCCGGGCCCTACCAAGCCGGCCTGTGCTGCCTCAGCGAAGAGCACCTCCGCCTCGTCGCGTGAGCAGTAGGCCACCAGCACGGGCGCGTCGACCTGGCGCAGGAGGCGCTGAGTGCGCGCTCGGGGGCCGCCTGGGCCCAGCTCCAGCGTGAGGACGTCCAGCAGCCTCCAACTCAAGTAGCTGGCGTCCGCGACGGCGCGCACGCCCTCGAGAAAGAGCGCGTGGCCCGGGTGCAGGCTGGTGATGACTGCGAACGCGCTCCAGTCGTACTCCTCCAGCACCTTGAACAGCACCTGCAGCTGCTGCTCCAGAGACACGCCCAGCTGCAGGAAGGCGGAGCCCGGCTCCTGGGGGCGGGGCCGGGGAGTGGCCTGAGCCGGGCGGGGCGAGCTGAGTCCCGCCCGGTTCCCCCTCTTCCCGGCTCCGGTTCCTGCTCCTCGGTGCGCTAGCTTGAAGGGGTTTCAGTCTCCGGGCACCCCTGCCCTGCTAACCTATTGAGAATTTTGCAAACTACGCATGCCCAACCCCCACCTGACCCTGCTGGATCACAGACCAGAAGCACCGGTGCCATCTGGGCGCTTGATACAAACGCAGACGCCCAAGCTGCGCTCCACACACCAAAGGCATCCACAGGAATCTCGGGGTGACACGTGGGATCTGCACGTGAATAAACTCTTCTGGTTTTTGTTTAGAAGCTCTGCCCAAATAACTGAATCTGAGTCTTAGAGTGGCAGCCTAGGCAACAATACTTTTTGCTAGCACGGTGAGTGCTAAGAACCAATGTCCTGAGAGCTGATGCCTGGCCCAAAGATAACAGGAAAGACCATCCTGCCCAGAGCCCTGGAAGCAGAAAGCCTCAGCACCACCTCTGCAGTCCCCCAACAAAGCCCGCAGGCACTGCCAGCTTGGGCTAACGGTTTCCTCCTAAGGCGTGGTCTTCCTGCGACCGACTGCTGTAGTCCCTCCAAGAAGTCTCCTCACTATCACATCCCAATCTTTAAAAAAATATTTTGGATTTTTAAAAAATGTGTACGAGTAAGTTTTGCCTGCATGTATGTAATTGCACTCATGTAGTGCAGTGCCCATAGAGGTCAGAAGAGGACGTTGGATTCCCGGGAACCAGAGTTTTACAGTTGTTGGCTGCCATGTGGGTGCTGAGAACCAAACCCAGTTCCTCTGCAAGAGCAGCCAGAGCTCTTAACCACTGAGCCAGCTCTCCAGTCCCAAAGGTTGTATGTTAGTTGCCTTGTTTTGTTTTGTTGTTATTTTGTCTCCCTATGTCTCCCCCACACCTCCACCACCCCTGAGCCAAGGACTGAATCCAGGGCTGTGGCGAGGAGGGCTCTAAGCTAAATCTCCAACCCTCCAATCTTTTTGAAAAAAGGAAAACTACAGGTCAAACAAGCCAGTTTCTTCATTGCAATTTAAGAGAACCAAAGAAGCCAGGTGTGGCATCACATGCCTTTAACCCAGCATTTGGGAGGCAGAAGCCAGAGGATCAGCCACAAATTCAAGACCATCCTGGTCTACAAAGCAAGTTCCAGACCAGCCTGGTCAATAGACTGAGACTCTATCTTGGGGAGGGGGGCGGGGATTGGAGTCTTCATGGGATCTTCCTTTGACTCCTGATCCAAGAAAACAGACATAAACACTTATGGCATTTATGAGATGGTGGGGAGATGTGGGCACTGGCTGGATATTTGAAGAGGTTGAGGAATTTTTATTACTTATTTTAGATGTGATAATGTGTTGTTGTTGTTGTTTTTTTTAAAAGCTTTCCTCTGCTAGAGATACATACTGAAATATTTATATGTGGAATAATAAGATTTGGGGCTTTTGAGCTACAGTTGACCACAGCAGAGGGGGAAATAGAAAGGATGAACATGGGTTGGGGCAGGTGGGCCAAGATGGATGGAGGGCAGCTGAGATTCTTTATACTCTTCTATACGTATTCAATCAGTCTTCTCCCCTGTTACTTTCCTTGGCTGCTGGCTTACTTAGAGTAAAGCCAAATGCTTCCCACCTCCTTCTCCAGGCTTCTCTCTGCTCCTCAGAAGCTCTGAAGTACACCACCGGCCCCTACCACTAGCTCCCCAGACTGCTCTCAAGTCTCCCTGAGCCCCTGGTTTCATTGTAGACACTTCTTGAAAGATCGTACCTGATGAATCCCTATCCAGTGATCTTTGAGAATTCACATAGCCTCGTTGAACCACACATGGCCCATTAGAAAATTTTACCCTATAGGCCACAGCCCCTCTGCCAGATGAAGGAAGGGTAGGTCTGTAACATCTCCATACTATCTTTTCTTCAAAATACTTATCCCTGTCTTAGACCTCCATAAGAATCTGTTTGGGGAATTCTCTCCTCTAGAGACCAAAACTATTGCAAGGGCAGGACCGTGTTTGCCTTCTCCACATGGTTCTGGAGTGCTAATGGTCCTGTACCGGTGAATGCCAACTGCCTAGAGGGCAAGACATCAAATCTAGTTTCTAGCAAGCTCTCTGCCCCAGAGTCTGACCAGTAAGGACTGGAGAAGCAGAGGAGTAAGCTGGTGGGCCTGACCATTACAGGTTGAAGGTCATCTGCCCACCTCATCCAGACACGAATGCAACAGTATCCCAGAACACTGAACTTCTGGAACCAAGCAACATCCTTCCCAGAGCATCCTCCCCTTCTCAGATATCACACATCTTCAGCCCCACCTCCTGGCCAGTCCCAGCTTCCCACGACATAAACTACTTCCTAGTTCAAACTCAGCCCTGGTTCCCAGCCCCGGCCCATCTCTGGGCCCAAGGGAAGAAGGGGCAAGAGTTTGAGCAGGCACCTTGGGGGTGAGGACCACAGCAGAGCCCCCGCTGATGCTGAGGACGGGCACGTGAGTCTGGGAGGAGACGAAGTCCAGGAGTTGAGCCACCGCCTCGGTGTCCACGTTGTCCTCAAAGACGATGCCGTGGACACGGGCAGCACCCAGAACCCCGCAGATTTGGGTGAGGAGGCTGCTGGGGTTGGTGTTGTTGACCCCAACGGTGAGTGGCTGGATCTCCAGGGGCAGGTCCAGGAAGTTCTGAGGGGTAAGATGAGTGCGGGCCTGGGCCTGCAGTGGCCCAGAGCTGCCAAACACCACTGCCACTGTCACTGCCTGCTCGCTCTGCCCTGGGCCCAGCCCTGCCCAGGCACTGAGGAGTGAGGTGAGCAGCAGGGCAGGCCCCAGGGCCCCACCCATGTCCACTGGAGGGTCCTGCAGAGAGACCATGGGAGACATGGAGAGAGACAGACAGACAGGAGGTAAGGGTCAGAGGACACGCACACACACATACATCCAGAGGGCAGAGAAGAGAAAACCTCCCTCCACAGGAGAGGCAGAGACAGATAAGCACGGACAGACAAAGAGAAAGAGACAGAGGTTAGCTGAGCATCACCAGGGTTCCCTGGAAAAGCAGGAGCTGGAGAGAACAGAAGCCTGGACAGGACTCATCATCCTGATCTGTGAACATCACCTTTAGCTAGAAAGGCCACTGCTCCCCAAACCCTCACCTGGGTTCTGCCCTAACTAGGACTCTGAAATGCTAATCTGTTGTTCAAATGCATGCAGTTGAGGTAGACAGGCCTGAGTTCAAATCAGGTCTGCCATTTACTGGCTGTGTGATTTATTTTTATTGTATTTTATGTGTATGGGTGTTTTGCCTGCATGTATGTAAGTGCACCATATATGTGAATACCTGTGAAGGTCAGAAGAGGGTGTTGGATTCCCTGGAACTGGAGTTATGGATAGTTGTTAGCTGCCGTACAGGTGCTAGGAACTGAACTGGGTTCTCTGCAAAAACAACCAGTGCTCTGAGCCATCTCTCTAGCCCCTTATTTTTTTTTCATGATATGATGTGTGTGTGTGTGTACCTATGAATGCAGGTGCCTATGGAGTCCAGAATGGAGTATCAGATCCCCTAGAGTTAGAGTTACAAGCAGTTTTGTGCCACCCAACATGGGTGCTGGGCATTGAACTAGGGTCCTCTGCAACCCCTGAGCCATCTCTCCAGCCCTAGATATGTGATCTTTGAGAATTCACATAGCCTCACTGAACCACATAAATGAGATAACAGAAGCCAGGTGTGGTGGCACACGCCTTTAGTCCCATCCCAGAACAGGGGAGGCAGAAGCAGGTGGATATCTTGAGTTCAAGGCCAGCCTGGTCTACATAGTGAGTTCCAGGCCAGCTGGGGCTACAGGGAGACCCTGTCTCAAAAAGACAAAACAACAACAACAACAACAAAAAACCTATTTACTGTTATTAGCAATTTTTATTCTGTAGGCCACAGCCCCTCCACCAAGTGAAGGAAGGGTAGCTCTATATCACCGCCATGCCCCAGTCCCCTCTATAGCCGAAACTGAATCTTGTATCTATCCCTCATTGGAACAAATACTACTGCTCAGAATATCCTCCTTGCCATGGAGCCAGCACCAGGACCCTCCACTTTGTGGCTCTGCCTGGCAGCTCCCCTCCTCCTGAACACTGCTGCCATTGCCACCCTCCCCTTGGTGGACTCAGTTAGGAGCAGCCCTCCAAGGCAGGGTGGGCAGGACAGGTTCAGGACACCTGAGACCCTGACATGTCTGACGTATGCTTGCTGTTTCCCATCCCATTGCCAGTGTGTGGAATCTTTTTGGCACCTAACCCAAGGGCCAGAATGTATCTGCTACACAGATGCATCTGGATCAAGGCCAAGAGTGAAGCAGGCGACAGTAATGACTTCTGGGTGCCAACTGATGCAGCTCATGGCCTAAGCTTAGCCACCTTCTCCATCTTTGTCACACTCTAACAAAATTTCTAGCCAGAGGAGAACTGAAGGGGGATCAGGCTGGGTACAGATACATGACCAAACCCAAACAATTGCCAACACTCCTGCCTGGGCACCTAAAAAGCAACCTGCCTCCAGGGCCAGAGTTCAGGCTTTCTTACAGATCTGTGTGCTACTAAATCGTTCTCTTCCTTTTGTTCCAACTCTAATTTCTCACATAACACCCCACAGGGGCTTCCCTGGCTCTCCAGTTCTCTCTAAGGAAACAGCGGGAAGGGATAGGCAGCCATCCCTGGGGAGGGTACACAAAACCTTCTCTTCTCCCTGGTTGTTGAAAGTTTAGTTCCGAGGGGGACCACAAATGGGACTCTTTAGTTAAGAAGATACAACTTGGCGTACTTATGTGCTGAGCGCCTTCTATGAATGAGGTGCTGGATGGTGAGATGTTGACACAAGTGAGACGTAGTCCCTGTCCTCCAGGAACTCAGAATCAAAGTTACAGAACCAGCAGGCTGTTATGAGCACCTTTAACCTCTTTTCCTAAACTTAATTCCTCTTTCCATCACACCCTGGCATCCCTACTCCCCTCAAGCTTCTAGCCTCTCCCAGTAAGACCTTTCAGCTAAGGATCTGGCACTCATTCACAGAATGGTATAAGGAGCTGATAACAGCTTACCGTGTTATCAATGACAAGAGAGATGCAATTTAAGGAGTCAGGGCTTTAAGCTAAAGTGCCAGGTTATAGAAGTTCAGCACAAGTGGAGAGGATGGGGAGCAGAGAAAGGAGTACTGTAGACAAGTTGTTACCTTTGAAATCTCCCTGTGTGTGATTTCTTAGTACAAGGTACAAATGGCATCTTGGAGGCACAGCTCAGTCTGGGATGGGGTCCTAAGTCAAGGCAAGCACTTTATCCACTGAACCATCTACCTAGCTCCTCTCAGTAATATTCTTATATTGACTGCATGTTGAAATAACATTTTAGAGCTACTCAATTAAACAAAATATACTATTAAATTAATTTCACCTGTTTCTTTTTCATTTCATTTATTGTAGTTTTTTTTTTTTTTTTTTTGAGGCAGAGTCTCACTATGTAGACCAGGCTGAACTTGAACTCACAGATCCACCTGCTTTTGCCTGCCCAGTGCTTGAATTAAAGTCATGTGCCACTACATTTGACTCTTTTCCCTTTTATTAACCTTGGTGCTAGCAATTTTAACATTTTGGTTGTTAGTTTTAGCCTTTAACAGCCACGAAATTCCTCCAGCCTGGTACTAGAAAATTTAAAACCACACATGTGGCTCCTGTGTTATTTCCTCCAGACACCGTGAGTCTGGGTGAAGGACCTAGGCCCTCTCTCAGCTGCCAAGGGGAGATGTTCCTCTGCAGCTTCCCTCCATCATGAAAGTATCCCCCTGGATTAGGGGTGGAGAGGAGGGGTTGTCGAGGCAGGTTATGAAGGATAGGCCAGCATTAGGCATATTCGTGAGTTCTCAAAGCAATGTGACAGTCTGCTCACCAAGGTGGCATGCAGCTCATGCTCTGTCCCTGGCCCTTATCCTCTCCTCTTCATCTTCTTCCTGCCACCCAACTGTTGCACTAACTGAAACTTTCCTCTGGCTCTTGTGCCAGTTGTCAAGCAGAACAGCTGTTCCCTAGTGCCCACGAATAAAATCTGCTCACCCCATACCGTAATCCCAACCTTCCCTTCATGGATACCCAACTCTGCCAGGTTGGTGGCACACTGTCCTTATCTCCAGACCCTGGGTCCTGCTGTTTCTAGGGTCAGAGCATCCTCTTCCTGACAAAATCCTATTATCTTTCAGAGCCCAACTGTGCTGGATAACTTTAGTGTCAATTTGACACACCTGGGTTGAGGGAGCCTCAGTTGGGGAATTGCCTCTATTGGACTGGCCTATGACCATATCTGAGGGCATCTTCTTGATGAGTGATGTGGGAGCCCAGCCCACTGTGGGTGGTGCCACCCCTGGGCAGGTGGGCCTGTGTTGCATAAGAAAGCAGGCTGAGCAGGGGCCAGGGGAGCAAGCCGGTAAGCAGCGTTCCTCCATGGCCTGTGCTCCAGCTCCTGCCTCCAGGTTCCTGCCCTGAGTTCCTACCTTGGGCTCCCTGATGAACTGTGACCGGGGAGATATAAGATAAAATAAACCCTTTCCTCCCCAGGTTGGTAGTGGTCAGAGTGTTCTGTCACAGCAGTGAAGAACAAACTAGGACACCAACCTAAGTTCCCAGCTACACAGGCTTCTCTTGAGCATCAATTCCAGACCCCTAGGGAAGAGACAAGAGCTTGGACCCACCGTCTTTTCCCTACAGGGTCAGGAGCTCCGAGCTGGCCCTCCTCAGGGGCCCCTCCATTATTAGATCTTTGTGTCTAATGACACTCCTTTCCCAAAGGGTCTTTAAAATAGTGTTTGCTGGACACCTGAATGGCAAGTGCAGGGGAGAGAACCACAGAAGTCAGTCCTGCTGGACCCTCAGCCACCCACACTTGCTCAGAGCCCTTTTCTGTTGTCCCCAACCCCCAATCACATGCGGGCTCTCTAACAAGGCCTGATATGTAAACACACAACCATACATATACACACACCCACACTCACACCCACGCACACAACTGGGGACACTGATGGTTCCCCATCTCCAAGGTCCAGAAGCTCTGGTCCCAAGAGCAGGTCTCACCCACCCAAGGTGTTGATTCCTCACAGTGAGGGACACATTGCCCATACTCTGAAAGGACCCTCTTCTGTGGACAGGTTTCCCTCCCTCGATTTTGCCCAGCTAAACCTGAACCCTGGCGCCTGGAGACAGACAGCCCCTCTACCTTGTCCACACTGATAGGGACACAGAGTTCTGGTTCCTCCAAGACTAACTGCTCCCTCCCGGCTGATCCAGCTCGCCCCGGGGGCGCTTCGCCCCCTCCCCTCGCAGGAATCTTACTCTGGGGCTGTGAAGTTCGGGGTATTTTTAGGCCGGCGATAAATAATTCATAGGGAACGTGGCATCAGGCTGCCCCTGCAGGAGGAGGGGGCGCGAGCACCGAGAGTCGCCGTCACCCGCGGCTCAAGGACACTCGCGATGCGGCGGCAGTGGCGGTGACTCTGGGCGCGGGGACCCTCGCCACGCCTCCTGGCGGCCAAATTGGGCACCAGGCACTCGGATACTCGGCGCCCCCCTCCTCCGTCCCCCTCCTGGCCACTAACCGCTTGCGCCTTCCCCCAACCCTAACTCCAGCCCCGGTCCTAGGCCCACTGTCTCAAGCCCTTGTGGGTGATGACGGAGTTAGCCTGGCAGAAGGGGCTGTGGACCAGGACCCAGTCCAGGTGACCCTTCGAAGCGAACCCCCAGGCGTCCAGTTCCCTACCTACCTGTGCCTTTCACGTTCTTATTCTTCCAAGTTTAGAAACTAGCTCAGAGCCAGGAACTGGATCGGTTCCAAAACAGAGCCAGTGGAATGGCACCTTCTCCACATACTGGATTGTTTTCCCCCTGGACTTTCTTATGACTTGGGAGCTGCTGATGGGGCGGAGCCTGGGCCATCATCTAAGGGTTAGGGGACTGTACCAGATGCCCCATTGGGAAGGGAGGGCTGGGAAATGGGGTGGACAATTGGGGTCAGCATCAGACCTAAGGGAACACCCACCCCTCACCCCGCAGGACCTTCGAAGGGTTGCTGGGCGCCTTCTCCTTCGGCAGCGCTCCCCTTGCCTGCCTAGGCCAAGCACAAACCGCTTTCCGCAGCAGGAGGCTTCTCCTCCCTGCCGTCGGGGTTCCTGGTCCAAGCCCCAGGAGACCACAGCAGCCAACTGGTGCGGCCAGGGCCCAGGACACCAGGGCAGGCCTTTTCCGCCCACCTCCTTTTGGCGCCCTCTGAGCCTGGGGAAACCAGGGTGAGGGATCAGTTTTTGGGAATATCCTGCCACTCCAGAAACCCACATTGATTCTCTGAGGTCAGAGGGTGAGCTGAAAGGTAGGGAAAAGGAGTGCAGCAAGGGGAGAGCCTGGGGCACTCAGGCCGAAGCAGGGGTCGGATGGAAGGCAGATGCGCGCAGCAGGTGCCCAACAGACATGAGGAGTCAGGGACAGACTCCAGGAGCCGCCACAGCTCCCCTCCGCTCTCTGGGCTTCGCGCCCTCTCTGGCACTCTGGTGCAGCTGGGCCAGTGCCGTAGGTCCGTCCGGCCCCTGCCCGGTTCCTCGCCCGGGAGGCTTCCGCCCGCAACAGTTGGAGCCAGCAACCCAGACTCCGGTGTCCGGTACTGACCCTACCCGGGGGCCGCCGCACCGGCGAAGGGGAGGCCTCGGAGACCCTGGGGACGAACGCCTTGCGCTCTTCGCCTACGTCCTTCCATCGCGTCCGCGGCCAGTCTATCTCCCCAGTTTCTCTTCCTTTGCCTCCTCTCCGCTCGCCCTAGTTCAAACCACAGGTCGGGCTCCGGAGGGTCGCAGTTCCCTGGAGCACCGCCCCCCACCCCCTCGCGCGCACCCCCCGCCCCAATCCCTGTGCCGGCTAGACTCTCCCTGCGTCCCGCGTCTGCCTCCACCGTCCTTGCCCGCTCGGCGCCGGAGCCCAACCTCCAAGTTGCCGGAGAAGTTGGCGCTCCCGGCTCGCTGTGCGCCCCCCGCTGCCACTCACCCAGGGAAGGGGCGCTGAGCCCGGAGCCCCCGGCCACCTCCCGCGTGGTGCAAGTCCCGGCGCCAGCCCAGAGCGATGGCGCGCTCTCTCCGAGCTCGGCAGGTACCGGAGCCGGCACGGCGGGATCAGTGCCCGCCGCACGGCTTGGCCCGCTGGATGTCGCCCGCCCCCGCGCCCCGCGGCAGGGCTGTGTCCCGGGCTGGCGGCGCGCCTCCCGCCCCGGGGCTTACCAGATGACTGTGGCGGGCCTCGCCGCCGCCCGCCGCCTCCGCCCCGCCCCAGACCGCCCCGGCCGGCCACCCGCACCCCTCCAGCCCCTCCAGGCCCCTCCCTGCCGGCCTGTGTGCCCGGTTGCCCGGGTCCTCTCCCCTGCTCAGGGACCCTGTCCCCAGACCAGACGCTGGGAGGCAAGGACAGCCTTGGAGAAAAACACTAGCTCGCCAGGAGCCTGGGTTTGAGCCCTCCATTCACTAGCTGTGTGACCTTGGGCCAGTTAATTTCGAGGTTCCTTCAGTTTATAAAGTGAGGCCACCATTCTGTCACTGTCACAAGAGACTGTAAACTGTGGTAGGCAGGGGTACTGTTTTGAAAAGGGTTGTGGACTTTCCTGGAAATGGAAAATGGAAAGGCCAGACCTGCCAGCCACTGGGAGAGACTGGGGGCAGGCTGCTGCCGGCTGCCCACACCCATCTCTTTCTCTTTTCACTGATTGTCCTGGGAGCTAACCAGGAGGGCACCAGCAGTGAGGCGGGCAGGGCAGCAGATTAGGGACCTATCATGAATGACTGTAGGGTGAACACACAGCAGCAGAGGGAGGGAGGGAGGGAGGATGGTTCATGTCAGGTCTGACTGCCAGGTCCCCTCGAGCCCCCAAGAGGTTCTTGAACAGGCATCTATTTCCTCAGTTCCATGGGGCAACCATAGGTAAGCTGGGGCCAGAACCTGACCCTGGGCCCCCAAAGAAGTAGCCCACTGACCATGGCTCTTGGTTACAGCTGTTTTATTTTCAGCATGTTCCCATTCTAGGGGCCCTCCAAAGTCCAACAGGAGAGAAGCAGGAGGGGGTGGAATCAGCTTGTACCTCCATCCACTCTTAAATGTTCCTTCCTTGCCCTAAACCCACACTGGCAAGGTCCACATGCAGAAGGCAGTGCTCAAAGGCTCCTGGAGAGCTGCAGCCCAGCTTCCAAGGCAGAGCAGGCAGCACTGAAGCTGGGATTAGAGTCTAGCTTAGACTGCCTCAGCCTGGCACGGGATTCTCCCTCCCTAACAGGGGCTGGGATCCAGGTTCAGCATCCCAGCAGCTGCAGCATCTCCCTCGGATCCACCAACTTCTCCCGTGGTTTACCAGTGCCCCGGCCTCGGGATACCTCTTCAGCATCCAACTTCTCCCAGTCTGAGAAAGAGACTGGCCGGATGCCTAAGGCAGAAAGGGAAACAAACAAATGCCATCACCTCCTCTCAACCCCTTAAATCTTCCTCCCAAATGGTAAGGACCCCCAAACAAGTTATCTTCACCCTCTAATCCACCCTCCCACCTCAGCATTAGGCTCAGACCTCGACTGCTGAGCAGGGCTTGGACTGCTGCACGGCCAGGCCTTGGGCCTGAGGGCAGCAGCCCAGCCTCCAGGTCCTGCAGCAGCACCTGGCTGGTGAGGAAGCTGTCAGTCATGGTCGTGTTGATGACACCTGTGGGTCCTCTCTTTACCCAGCCACTGCAGTAGAGGCCTGCGAGGGGCAATAGAGACAAGGTGGCTGAACACTGCCTGGCAAGCCTGTGTCCCAATCTACACACGCACATGTAGACATACTCCCATGTCTCCCAGCAGACCCCATAGCCTGGGCCCACTATGACCACTGGTTCACCACCTGGGCACGGCCATCCAGCTGGCCAGGCCGTGCCCAGCTCCGGTACCCACCGAGCTTGGAGAGAGCGTGCCATCGAGCTGGGCTAAGGCCCCTTAGGCCTCAGATTCCTTGTGGATGAGGTGCTCCCTGGGGGTATGAGCTGGGCTTACTCACAACAGTTCAGCAGGCCCTCAGCAACATTTACTGAATGAACAACTGGTTAGATGGGTAAACAGCCTGGAAACTTCTGGAGGACAGGGCCTGCCTACCTCCAGTGTCAGCACTGAAATCTCCCCAAGGACAGGAGCTGCCTACCTCCAGTGTCAGCACTGGCCCAGAGCAGGCCTCAGTAAAGTTTTCCCAAATCACTTAATGATCAGACTTTCGTCCCAGCTTGCCTGGGAACTTGCCTAGGAGCCAGGAAGGAGGGATGGGTCCTGGGACTGGACCTGCCTCAGAGCCGCTTCTCAGTGTAGGTCACTACAGAATTTGTGGTCCTGGAGACACCAGCCTTCCAGCCTCCCATCATAGTTAGGTAAGCCCAGCCTTCTCAACCCTCTCACCTGGTACATCCATAACCCGGCCCTCTCTATTGGGAATGACCCCAAGCTTGGGGTCAAAGGGCACACTGGGGTCGATGGAACGGCTCTTATAACCAACACTGCTCAGCACCAGCCCACAAGGGAGGTCCTCCACATCTCCTGTGGGCACTGCCCGGGTGGCCTCACCAACACCCTGTTGGGGAGAATGTGGGCAATTCCAGGTTGGAGTTGGGGAGGCCTAAAAAGGGGTATCTTGGGGTAATAGGAGACTCACCTCCAGTCTTGTGACTGCCAGGCGGATGCCTGCTGCTCGTTGCCCATCTGGTGTGGGTAGCACCTGTTGGGGGCTTCGGAAAAATCGGAGACCCCAGGCACGGGAGGCCAGTGCCTGGCGAGCAGCTTCCTCAACCCCTGGCTTCTCTGTAGCTGTTCGAAGCAACAGTTCTGCCAGCCGTTTCCTTGGACGGGGTGCCTCTGTCAGCAACACAGAACATCTCAGGACTGTCCCTGCTGGTCAGTCCTCTTCCAAGTCTAAGCCATCCCTTCCCTGTAGGCTGGGGCTTGGGCTAGGCCCCTTACCCTTGATTCTGTCCTGGAGGCCCAAGAAATCCGCAGGATCTAAAATGGGCCGAGTTCCTGGTAGGTGAATCATCTCCCGAAGCTCCTTGAAGGTGGGGATAGAGATGAGGGAGGAGGTCAGGCCCAGAACACTAAAAACCCCTGAGCCCACTGGAGTTCAGCCCTGGTGGGAAAAACCATCAGCACAGAAAGCCCAGGGTCCTGGGACCCTGCCCAGCACCCCATTCCATCCTAGGCAGCAGTTACTCCCAGGGCTCTGCACTCCCTACCCCCAATAAACATAAAAGTAGGAGCCTCTACCTGAGACCCTGGGCCCTCCCCTTCTGGCTCCAGTACCTTGATGGTGAAGGCCACTTGCAGGGGTCCACGCCGGCCCACTATCCACACTGTCTTCACCCGACTCTGCCTGAGCACACCTAAAGCGGCCTCTGTGATGTCTGTTTTCTACCACAAAAGGAGGTTCTTCAAATCACTCAACACTGACTTGAAGAAGGAATTCTCAGTTGGCTGAGCCAGAAAAAGCGGTTAGCCCAAAACTGCTCGAATGTTCCCCCTGGTGGCCAGATGGAGCATTGCTGCCAACTTTGGTTGTAAGTAACAGCAAACCATTCTTACATTTGCCATGTGTCCAGAACAGGGCAGGGGGGTTAAGGAAGCAAGGGGCAAGGGCAATCAATGTGAGCAAACAGACTGGTTCTTAATCTCACAGAGCTTCTTATTTTCTGGGGAGAGATACTCAGCTAATCTCATGTAAAACTGTAGTAGTGATAAAGGAATCTGAAAACAAAGGAGACTAGTCAGTGAGAAGGTGTTGCAGGAAACACCTTCTAGGGCCCTCCTAGAGACTTCCTGACAGAAGGCATAACTGAACCAAGAACTAAAAGAGGAACATTAACCCTTAACTGCCAGGCGGTCAGTCCAGATGTTCCAAACCAAGAGAACAGTGCATACAAGTGCCCAATGGCACCCTGACATCTGAAGTCCTGGGCTGAACTGCCCAGGGAAACAGGCACTGGGCTCATTTTGGAGGGATGAGACCTGAACCCCACAGGCAGGGGTACCCTTTCCCTTTCCTCAGTATGACCCCCATCTCCATCCTTCCAGACCAACTGGCCCTTTACCTCCAGGTGTTCAGGTGGGGTCAGCAAAATCCGGGCCACATCCAGAGCCACGTTCCCCTGACCCAGAATAACAGCTGTGTCACAGCTCAGGTCCGGCGCCAGCTGCAGGAGAAAGTTCTCTATGGGGTTCCCTGTCCCTAGCTTCAGTCAGGCTAATCTCATCTGTAGACACCTTAGGCCAGGTCCCAGGTGGGCAGTCCACCCTGCCCCCTCCCCTCCAACCTGGCCCCACAGAGGAGCGCCTCCGCTGACCTGCCTCAGTCACTGATGTCTCACATCTCCTTGGCTTGTTCTTCACTGCCTTTTCCTTGAGCTCTAGCACCTGAGGGATGCTCCTGACCCCAGTCAGGGGGTGGGAGGCAGAGGCAGCAAGAGTGTTCCCCAAACTCACCTCCTGGTTCTCAGGAAGCCCATTGTACCAGCCCACAAAGGCCCGGGCAGAGACCACCCCAGGAAGCTCCTCTCCAGGAATTCCCAGGGCTTGGTGATCCTCTGCTCCATAACTCTGAGGAAAGACAGAGGCCCCCAGCCCAAGCCCTCAGCACCAGCCCAGGAGGCAGGCAGCCCTCCTGTTTCCCAGAGGCCCCTTCTGGCAGCTCTCATCTTACAGACTCTCTCCCACCACACAAGCACTCACCAGTACCACGGCATGGTAGGCCTCCTGAAGCTCGGGCACTGACACATCCCTGCCCACCACCACGTTGCCCCAAAAGGCACAGCGGTCTGAGCGGGCTGTCTGCGTAAATGTATTGATGACATTCTGCCAGGTAGCATTAGAGGGGCCATTAGAAGACAGAGCAGCTCCTGGGAGCACACCAGCATCACCCTCACCCCATGATGCCCATCACGGAGCCTGGTTCCCATCCCACAGAGGGCCTAGGGTCCAGCCAGGGAGCCTCTCTCCCCTCATCTTTATTGTCTCCAGTACCACCCTACACACCCAGAGACACCCACCTTGACTTCAGGGTGGTCGGGTGCCACGCCAAAGCGCACCAAGCCAAAGGGCACAAGCTGCTTCTCATAGATGTCAACGTGGGCCTGTGGGTGGTGCTGAGGGAGAAGCACAGCTGGTGGGACAGAGGGAGAGGCTGGATCTCCCCCCCAGGGCATCCCTTCCCCAGACAGAGCAAGAAAGCTCAGTTGAAATGGCTAAGGATACTGGCTTCAACCATCCACGAGGAGAAACAAAGCCCCATCACTCTGCTCACACAAGGGCTCTGAGGAAGCACAAGCAGCAAGAGAAGCTGAGGTCAGAGCTCAAGGACTTCCAGCCATGACACTGTGAGAAACTGAGCGAGTATCAATCTTCATATCAGGTCAGAAGAGACAAATGCCACTGCTCTAGGAAAGAAACCTCCCTCCTCCTTCCTCCAGCATCTCCTCAGCTCCCTTTCCTAAAATGTACAGTCTCTGAAGCACTTCCATCTCAGGCCTGCCCTCCCTCCTGGACATGTCATCATGTCCTAGGGAAGTCTTACCTACTTCCTCCAGTGACCTTAAATTCTCATGGACCTATTTTTGACCTGTATATCTCCCCTCCCATCCTCTCTTTCTATTTTTCCTCCATAGCCTGAAACCTTAGAATATGAGACCCCAAGATGTCACACCCCATACATCTCAACTCATCCTTTGTCCCCTAATGTCTCCTCTCTATTCGTATTCCCTTCCACCCCAGCCACATGGAGTCCCAGCCAGAGCCCTTGTCCTTCCCCTACACCTCATTAATTCCCCATCCTTGCTCTCAGGACAACCAGCCCCTTCCTAAGGCTACTCTGTAGAGAGAATATTCCAAGTAAAAAATGGAATCCTGGCCAGGCGTGGTGGCGCACGCCTTTAATCCTAGCACTCGGGAGGCAGAGGCAGGCAGATCTCTGTGAGTTCAAGGCCAGCCTGGTCTATATAGTGAGTTCCAGGACAGCTGGGGCTACAGGGAGACCCTGTCTCAAAAAAAAAAAAAAAAAAAAAAAAGGAATCCTGTGCTGACGGTGTAGCTCACTGGCACAGCGTTGCCCAAGCACTCACAAGGCCCTGGGCTCAATCTTGAAAAAGGAGGGGGGAGGGGATTCCCTGTTTTCCCTTGCTTAAAAGGTTTCAACAAAGCCAATTACCCATAGTAGTGAACACCAGAATCCCCCGGGTTATTTGCTTTAAATTGCTGATTCTCAAAATCTCAGACAATTTGAGTAAGTCTAAGTTGGGCTTAGAAATGTTTATTTAAGTAAGTTTCCAGGGTGGAGAGTGGAGGAAATGTGGAGAGTGCCCAAAGAAAGCCACTCAAGTCCACAAACATAGCAGTTTCTAGGGCTCTGGGGTCTGGGCTCCAGCTGCCTCTACAACCTAGCTCTTGCCTCTTTGCTCTCAGACAAACACCTCCTGGAAGCAGCCTTGGAATGACCCTGAAGGGCCAGTCTCCTTCCTCTGGCCTTTGTGCACACAATTCTCTGTGCTTAGGGCATTCCTGCTGTTCTCTACCTTGACCTCACATTCTCTACAAGATACAGTTTGAAAAGCTCCCCTCTGGACTGGGTTAAGCAATGTCCCTAGTTTATGCTCTAAAAAACCTTGTAAACCACCTCACTGTGAGCACGGGAAAACATATGCAAGTGCCTGAAGGCCAGGACCTGGCCCACAGATAGGGCACAAGAACCCTCCCTCCAAGGCCTACTCACCTACTACCCTCAGCTAACACAGTAGGCCTTACATGAATCCCTTCGTAACACCAACTACCCTGCCCACTCACCCCTGCTTCTCAATCTTGGGTAATCTCCTGAGTCTCCAACCCAGAGCCCAGGCTGTCCTCCTTCACCAGTGGCCTTGCATTCCAGGCTGACTCCTCACATGGGGGTAGGAATGGGACAGCTCGCCAAAGCCCACACATGGCCTTCAGTACACATCAAAAGCCCATTTTCTAGGGAACAGCCTCTGACTGTACTGGCCTGTTTGCATCTCTGTATCTCGAGAGGCATAAGCCACTCATCAGCAGAGGTCTCCAGACCTTCCTAGTGTCAGCCCCAGGTAAATCAGTCCAGTGGCTCACTCTACCTTTCAAGTATCTGCCCTCTGTGGATAGTCCAAGCCCCTCTAAAGCTAGGACACTGTCTCATCTCAGTCAACCAAAATATCCCTGAATTTCCCTTCCCCTTCTACCTCAAGGTCTGACAAAGGTTTTTCAAGTATGTTTGGCAGCCTTGGGGCCCTGTCCACCAGGCTAAAACCAAAAGCATTGAGACCTTGCCCTTTAATAGGAGAGAAGAGGCTTGAGGTTGGGAGACGGGGACAGCGACTGTAGATAACTACATTATGAAGTAGATAAAGTCACAGTAAGCTGAGTGGGGAGGGTAGCCTTGAAATGTAGGATGTTGGAGATGGACACTCATGAAAGAAGGAAAGATCAAGGGAGGATAAAGCCATCCCGTAATACCAAAAAACTTCCCTGCTTGGTCAAGCAGGCATAGCTGACCACCAACCATGGGGCAAATACACTGTCACAGCTGAGGACTTAAGGTGGGAGAACCAGGTAAAGGTGTGGATGCAGGTAGAAAGGACACAGGTTAGGGCTGGGAGCCTGTTCCTGATTAGGCACTCTGAAGAGGCTGGGACTTACCCCTAGAACTGGAGCTAGGAGTGAATGATGGGGAAGGAACCTGGAGGAAGTGACTTACCTTTAGCAAGTGTTGGGCCGTGTAGAAGCCAGCTGGACCACTGCCCACCACACAGACCTGAGGGGTCTTCTGTGTGGAGAATTGCTGACCAAAGCTTGGGGCTGGGCAAAGGAGAGGGACACAAGGTCAAATCAACAGTTTCTCACCATCCCACACCAATTCAGTGCCCAACAGAGGATTGCAGCTTGCCAAAATTCACCCTCACCTGTACCTTCCTTTGCTCCTCAAAGCATTGCCATTTGCAGGGTCCCTTACTTCACCTGAATGCCTGAAAGCTGTGTCTTTATCCAGAGCCCTATGCCAGATGCCTGGACACTGAAACTGCCCTGCACAGTGCTTCATTAGACTTTATACCATACCCCCACCATGTCTCTATCTTGCTTCTTCTATCCCCTCTTTTTCCTTGTTTCATCACCGCGGTTCACCCCATCTCACACATGCGGATCTCATGGTCTATCCTTTTCGCTTTTAATGGCCCGGGGCTCCACTAGGAGGCCTCACATCTCATCGCATTTCTCTGGCAAGAGCAAACCCCTCACCCTCGCTCCTCTCCAGTCCTGCCTCGGCTCCTCGGACTCCTGCACTTAGCGGTCATAGGCCTCCCGGTACCCCCATGCAGCCCCAAATGCCCTGCTCCTACTCGGGGTGCTTCTGGCGGGAGGCGGCCGGATCCGCGGCCACACCGACCAGGCCCACCAGCACCAGCGGCGGAGAGCCATGGCTGGAACAGCAACCAGGGAGTGGAGCTGCTACCGGCTGACCGCGGGTCTTCAGCCGGCCAAGCGGCCCGCCTATCCCCGTGGCCCCGCCCCTATCCCCGCCCCCTCAGCGTTGGGCCAGCGCAACACTGAGATGCCATTCAGAAAATAACCCCGCCCCCAGGAGAAAGCCCCGCCCTCAGACCGCCTCCGGCCGCAGAAACCCTGCCTCCAGGACTTCCGGACCTCGCAAGATTTAATTTCTTTCCAGCCTTCCCGGTCGCTCCAAATACCGGAAGTCTAGATTTGAAGGAAAGCGAATCCCCAACTCTGTTTCTTCCTTCTCAAAGAAGGGAGCCAATTACAAAGGAGCTTACTTTACGTCGCTCGCTGATGACGCATGCTTTTTGCTATGCTTCTTGCTTGAGTGACTTTTGTCTCAGCCAATCAGAAGTCGATCTCCGGGCGAGCTCCTCCCCCGAGCCCTCAACTGTTGCGTTATAGGTCCAGAGTCCGAAGTTGGCTGAAAAGATGTACCTGGTCCTTCTTCGCCTCCGGTTTCAGCTCTCGGCGCTGTACTGTTGTGGCCTGGGCGAGATGCTGTGTATGTCGACCAGGAAGAATACTGAACTCTCAAGACCTTGTTCCACGATAGGGAAGAAAATGCGCGAAGCGACTTTCCTCTGGCACTAAGAACACAGAGCCCGACTCCCTGTCCAGCAGTTCTTAGCTTATGTGCAGAATTTAAGGGGGCGTCCAAAATCTCAGTAATCAAGGTAAATAATGCATATTTTAATGAACCTTTTAAAAAAGCAAAATAGTTACAAATAATCGAGAATGGTATACGTTTAAACTTTTTTATTGAGGGGCTGGAGAGATGGCTCTTGCAGAGGACACGGGTTCGATTCTCAGCACCCACACGGTGGCTAACAACCATCCGTAACTCGAGTTCCAGAGGATCCGACGCCCTCTTCTGACCTCTACGGGCATTGCACGACACGGGTGCGCTTACACACATGAAGGCAATACACTCATACACATAAAATTTTAAAATAATAAATTAAGCCGGGCGTGGTGGCGCACGCCTTTAATCCCAGCACTTGAGAGCAGAAGTAGGCCGATCTTTGTGAGTTCGAGGCCAGCCTGGACTACATAGTTCCAGGACAACTGGGGCTACAAGGAGACCCTGTCTCAAAAAGACGAAAAAGTAAAATAAATAAAATAAAATAATAAATTAAAAAGTTTTTTAAATTAGCCGGGCGTGGTGGCGCACACCTTTAATCCCAGCACTCGGGAGGCAGAGGCAGGCGGATCTCTGTGTTCAAGGCCAGCCTGGTCTACATAGTGAGTTCCAGGACAGCTGGAACTACAGGGAGACCCTGTCTCAAAAAAAAAAAAAAGAAAGACAAAAAAAATTTTTTTAATTATTCTATTATTTATTGCGGGAAGGGGAGGCACACACATGCCATACATGGTACACATGTGGTTGTCAGAGAACAACTTACAGAAGTTGGTTCTCTTCTACTATGTGAGGTCCTAGGAATCAGACCTGGGAGCAAGTGTCTTAACACACTGAGCCATCTCACTGTCCCACAAAACCTTTTTTTACACAAGGACAGGAGTTGAGGATGGTAAACTGTTGGCGTAGTGGTAGAGGATTTGTAGACCAAGTAGGCTTTGCCAATGTGTACCAAGCCCTGGGTTCAACCCCAGTACCAAAAATAAAATAAGGATAGGATCCCTGATCACCTTTGGCCAGCTCAGCCTAATGCCTCTCTAATAGCCTCTCATTCCCTTTCTTCTTGGAAAACTAACCTAGCCTTTCATTCTCACACTACCCAACATTGTTTATTTTTGCTGAAGATCGAACCCAGGGACTTATGCTGTTGCTTTACCCCTTACCTGTACCCCTAGCTCCTGGCTTAACTTTCTTTCTCTCTCTCTCTCTCTTTCTCTCTCTCTCTCTCTCTCTCTTTCTCTCTCTCTCTCTCTCTCTCTCTCTCTCTCTCTCTCTCTCTTCTTTTTTATTTTTTGGTCGTTTTGAGACCAGGTCTCCCTGTATCCCCAGCTGACCTGGAACTTGCTATGTAGACCAGGCTGGCCTCGAACTCACAAAGATCTACCTGCCCCTGCCCCCAAGAGCTGGGATTAAAGGCATACACCACCATGCCCAGCAACTTTCTATTCTGTAATCCAGCAACACTTCATCCCACAAAACAGAGTAAGTGTTCCAATCATCTGAGCAAAGAAGATTGATTTTATAGACAAGAGAGGCTGGCTTGAAAACAGAAACAAAAAAAGATGGGAGCTGGAGAGATGACTCAGTGGTTAGGAGCACTGGCTGTTCTTCAGAAGACTGGGGTTCAAATCCCAGCAACCACATGGTGGCTAATATAACACCAGTTCCAAGGGATCTGACTCCCTCTTCTGTCCTGCACAGGCACTGCACAACATGGGGGCACTTACATACAACCAGGCATATAACACTCATACATGTAAAATAAAAATAAATAAATAAAAATTTTAAAAACTGTTGGGCATTTCAAAGTGTGGTTGGTTTTTGTTTGTTTTTGCCTGGACTTTGTGGCACATGCTTGTAATCCCAGCAGCCAGGAGGATTGAGGCCAGCCTGGGGTACATAGTAAGACAAAACAGCAGGTTTTGTGTATGGGTTAAATGGCAAAGGAAATGTCATCATACCAGTTGGAACTGGATTGACTGGCTTGACTCTAATTCCGATTTCTTGGGCCAGATAAACAACTTAGTTTCAGCCAATTATCTCAGGAATCCTCTGTGCTCTACTAGTTACGCACTTCTGCCCTTTTATTGAGCAGTAAATAATATTCTCCAATATGTCATTGTGTTTTAAGCCTGTCCCACAGACCAGTAGGCAAAGCAAATGCTGCCATGGACCTGTTTTCTGTGACACATAAAAATAGTCTTTATATATATTTTATGTGTATGTACGTCTGTGTGTGGATATGTGCACTGAGTGCAAATGTACTTAGGAGTCAGAGGACTCTTGATCCTCTGGTGCTGGAGGTACAGGCAGTTGTGAGCCACTTGACCTGGGAGCTGGGAACCAAACTAAACTCAGGTCCTCTGTAAGAGCTCTTAACCACTGAGGCATCTCTCTAGCCCCATCTTATTTTATTTTTATTTATTTATTTTTAAGACAGGGTTTCCCTGTAGCCCCAGCTGATCTGGAGTTCACTATGTAGACCAGGCTGGTCTCAATCTCACAGAGCTCTGCCTGCCAAAGGCATATGCTACCACCCCCTGCCCAATCTTTATTTTTTTTAATGGCAAAATATTTTAAAATATTTTTGTCGGGGTTGGAGAGATGACTCAGCAGTTAAGAACACTGGTTGTTTTTGGAAAAGACCCAGATTCGAATCCCAGGACCCTCATGGCAGCTAACAACTGTCCGTAACTCCAGTCCCAGGGGATCCGACAGCCTCTTCTGACCTCCATGGACATTGCACGACACGGATGCGCTTACCTACATGTAGGCAATACACTCGTACATGTAAAATAAAAATAATAAAATTTAAAAAAATAAAATAAAATTAAAACAGGGACAAGTAGTCTAGGCAGGGTATTGAAAAGTATGACAGTAAATGAGAACTGTG